GAAGTTGCTGCTGATACGAGCTTCTTCTCACGTTGGACTTTCAACTCTCAAAGGCGCCGCCTCTCTGAATGGCCATGCTTCGCTTGGTCGCCTTTCATTGGGATTTACATTCATGTAGCCCCACGGTTTCTACTATTTAAGCGGTGATGCGTGTTACTTGTGCCACCCTATAAGCTGTCGTTGAGACTGCGGTTCAAATGGTAAGTGTGAGCATCACATCATGTATTCCGACTCGATCAAGACGTAATCGTTAATTACTCGCCTAAAGTGAACCCCACGGCGAGACATTCCCGGTAAACTTCGCCCATTACACGGTGACTTCCGCAGTTGGGAGCTTTTGTTACGAAACTGACCGCGCTTCTACGCAGCTGTGCCTGACTGTGCTCATCTTGTCAGCTGTTGGTCACGTCAGGGCGGACAAGTGTGCTCCTGAAGGAAGCATAGTAAGGAGAAACTCATTTTAAACTTGCTATCACACTGCAGCTCTCAATTCCTATTCCAACACAAGATACGCTTGCACAACCACATATCCGCAATATCAAGACCGAGAAGTTTAAGCTATTGAATTAACCTGTTGACTAGTGTCAATTGATCAGATACTTGTAACCTCGCTTCGCTAAGATGATTGCATTTTGCTCAGAAACAACACAGACAAATATGGAAGTAAATGATAATGGTGTGCCAGCGTTTTTTGGTGCAGCAGTAAAAACCATGTCCCTTTCTGTGCTGGAAATCAGATTCTGGTGGCACGAAAGCTCTGGAAAGCTTTGTGAGAAACTAACGCACTTAAAGAATTGGTAGCTTTTCAGACCTTTTACGAACTGTCACTTTTCTTGCATGTTTAATCTATTTATTTATTTACTGGATGACTCAAGTCCTGACCTCGCGGTTATGCTTGTGCACTGCAGCACGGTTTGAAATGCGAAAATTTAAGGCTGCCTATTACCGTTTCAAATGAGTACGTACAAGTATACCCTCGCATCGGCGTAATTGTGACTCAAACACTTGTTACCTTCAACGTTCAGATTTGCAGCGACATGATGAAGCTATCACGGGTAATCGCTCATATCAGTCGTTATACTGAAAACATTGCCTTTCAATCCGTGAGTACTGCACCTAAAAACCTAATGTATGTACGCATGTACAGGGGGAAGAGTGAAACGTTTCCAGGCCACTATCCCATGTATTCATATGGCAACGTGGCTAGGGAACTTCTGACCCCTATGTATGTATGTATGTATGTATGTATGTATGTATGTATGTATGTATGTATGTATGTATGTATGTATGTATGTATGTATGTATGTATGTATGTATGTATGTATGTATGTATGTATGTATGTATGTATGTATGTATGTAGTATGTATGTATGTATGTATGTATGTATGTATGTACGTATGTACGTATGTATGTATGTATGTATGTATGTATGTATGTATGTATGTATGTATGTATGTATGTATGTATGTATGTATGTATGTATGTATGTATGTATGTATGTATGTATGTATGTATGTATGTATGTCACGGAGTCTGCTCGTTTTCCGCCAGCGTGTAGGCGTCATCCCTCTCCATTCTTTTCGTGCGTCTATGCGAAGCCAAGATCTGTGTGATATCTCATTTACGCCATTGTTTGAAGGCTATTCGTAACGTGGTATACTGTTACCAACGCTTCCGTATATATAGCAACGACGCCGTGATACGGTGGCACTGGGTAACACGCCTGCTGTGCCCGTGGCGCGTTCGCAGTGCAACTTCCTGACGCAGCCGTGCTGCTCGACGCTGACGTGCATCCGGTACACGCGCACTCTGGGCATGAACGGCATCTGCATGCTGGACGTGCAGTCGGGCGACGACTACAGCGTGCCCATCTTCTCGACTCCCGGTGTTCACTCTGACGTCACGCCGTCGCTCCCGCCAATCACCAGGTTCACGTTGCCCCCCTCGCCGACGGGGCCAAGTCATTCGGTCAACCCAGTGACGCAGCACTACTGCTGTACCGTGACGTTCACCTGCAACCGCCGCTAGAGGGATTGACAACGCCTACAGATTCAAAAACCCGCAAACAGGAGTTGTGTGCTCAAGACGAAGCTTGGACAAGTGGACCTGCATAAACGTCGTCTAGAGCTGGCCTTGAAGCCTTCCAGCCTTGAAGTCTTCTTCTCGAAACGTTGGCTTGAGCACACAGCCCCTGTTTACGGATTTTTTTCATCGCCAACTTCCACCTTTCCTTTCCTGAACACACACAGAGTAACTCTATAACAACATTCATTATCTGTTACAATATATGCTGCGTGAACCACACAGTTTAAAATTGTCCGGAATGATACCTTGGGAATGATCAGCAGAAATAACGATTGCAGGCGGTGGTCCTGGTTACTCCCCTGCATTTACTGTAACTAATACAATCACCGCCTTCTTCCCCATGTGATAAGAGTATACGTAGTGAGCAATAAACGGCTATTTTTCAGTGACGGTTTCATATACGGAATGTTTTTGTATGCACGTGTCATTGATCGTTTGGTAAACAGAGGTGAGAGGACATACAGAAAGGTGACGTACATATAGCAGCATGCCCTTTCACCCATTCAAATAGGACATATGCATCGTACCTTCTCAAATAAAATAGAAATGACGACGCACTTACGTAACATTTGCAGTGGAGAGAGTGTCACGCTGGTTCTGAGCATGCTGCCCATAATAATCATGATGCGTCCACACAATGCGCGTTATGTATTGTTGGTCTTGGGAGCACATATTTTGCTTTGACTGCCCCGCCGCGGTGGTATGGTGGCTAAGGTACTCGGCTGCTAACCCGCAGGTCGTGGGTTGGAATCCCGGCTGCGGCGGCTGCATTTCCGATGGAGGCGGAAATGTTGTAGGCCCATGTGCTCAGACTTGCGTGCACCTTAAAGAACCCTAGGGGGTCGAAATTTCCGGAGCCCTCCACTACGGCGTCTCTCATAATCATATGGTGGTTTTGGGACGTTAAACACCACATAGCAGTAGTATTTTGCTTTGACTACTCAGCATCATAAGAGCAGCTTTTAGCAAGCTTGATAACTCACTTTAATTTTTTATTTAATCTCAAACCTGCGACAGCTTTGAAAAGCGGGCGTTATCTTATTGTTTAAATCTTTCCAGAACTTAATCTCTTATATGTATGCATGAACGAGCACTATATAGCGGGTTTGTCTTGAGTGCGAAATTAACTGAACTGTGGCGTAGATTGAGAGTAGTGTTGAGTCAACTCACGGACTAGCCTCCCAGATTGCGGAAGCTATAGAGTGCACAGTAGAGCTACTAGTATGCTCTTGTAGAGCTACTCTATGTGCTACCAGCGGTATCATATACACTACAGCGGAGCCTGTGGGGGTGCCCCTGTTTGCTCATCGGGTATACTCGAGACGCCACAGGCTGTTCTGTTCGTTCTGTTTGTACTGCACACTTGACAAAGTAACCTGACAACAGCGGCAAGTAGACTTTCGTGACATATATGCGGCTTCGCATAGTAGTACAGTTACCGTATGCTCTCGTGTTTGCAGGGCTGTGCGAAATGTGTTTGTACGTGGGCAATATGAACTGCATCAGCGAACAGCTCGACACGAACGCTTGTGGAAAGCGCGATTTAGGAAAGATCTGAATTTACATGAAGTATAGGCACATATCCTCGTATTTACCTTATTTCTGGCTTGTGTAACTACTTAATTGTCTGAAAAGCTATATTGTTTGTAGTAAATGATATTTCTTTCTATGTGTAACTCACAGTATGTACTGCGTGGACGACGCGATCGCCTTTCCTTTACTTTGAGCATGTCCTTAAGTACGAAAGAGATGAACTTATAGCAATGATAGAAACTGTCCACCTAAGAAGAATATTAACAGATGTGAAGCAGCTCTTTGACTCACGTATGTAACGCCGTATGTGTACGTGCCTCCGTACGAACGCGCCACAACGCTTTCGCTTCGCAGCAGCTGGAGCGGTGCCAAGTAGGTCACGCCGCAGCTGTGCGTTGAGGGCACGCGCTCCCCTCCTACGCTTCCCTCGTAGGTGCACGCTGACGTCACTCTCTCTCGCGCGCGCGCAGCACGCTCGCCGCAGCGTCCGCAGCTGCCGACTCGTAACACACTTCTTTCTCGCATCACCCTCTCCACCGCCCACAACGCTCGGCCGCACATCGAGTAGAAACACTCTTTCAGCTGGCTTGTCTGCGATGAAACTTACACGAAACTCAGCCCTCCTCCCGTGTCTTTGCGTTTCAAATAAAGGTTCACTCGAGTAAACGTTACACCGAGTTTCAGTTTCACTTCAAACCGTTCTTCCAGCACCCGCGTCAACGCCTTGTTTCAACCACGTTAACACCGTGCGCACCGCTGCTGCTTGGCATTCCATCAGGGATCTCTTCGGGGAGATGGTCCTTAATTTTTTTTACGTGATGGTATGGTGGCCGGCAATGTGATCTTTGTTTACCTGCAATTCACTTGATGCACATATCATTGATACCAGTTAGAAGTCTTGTAGCGTGACTTGCCTATTCAATTAGTTTTTTTGGAACTTATGACAAGTTATTATTGCTTTCACTCGTTCCGTCACTAGAATCGACATAGACCAAGAGTTAATCATATTGGAAATCAGGCAAGACTAAACAGAACAAACATTTTATTGAGATATGTCTGCGATAATGTCTTTCTGTAGCTCCGTGATAAACCATCAGGTAGGAGCTTCATTCAACCGACCTCTTTTCCTTTTTCTAGCTTGTCGGGATATAACAATGATTGTGCTAGTGAAGCATAAGTAGAAACTACAAATAATATGGCGAGGTATCAATAGACAGAAACGTTGATGGTAAGACACATGACGGCAGCTCCTAGCTTCTACAAAAAAATTTGGTATCATTGTTCGTGTTGTTTCTCCGCATTCGAAACGTTCTTATATTTGGAATGTGTATGTACAGAACAGCGAAGACATGAAGATCATGAAATAACACTAAGAACACAATGATATTCGTTTCTTTTTATCGAAATGTAGTCTTATGTGAAACATGAGGTGCCCTCTTGTACACCAGACTCGTTCGTGCACAACTACATAAAGTACGCTGGGGCATTGTGTGCATAGTTTTTTACAGTGAGTTGTTGCACGTCCAAGTGCGCGCCGCTGTTGTTCCCTGGTGACACGCTTGTTATGTCCGCAGTGCCAAACACCATCCTCCCAATATCTCGCACGTCCGGCAGCGTCTTGGGGACGTTTGTTCATTGGGCTGGCGGTGGTGCATCGTAGGCGCCGTTGAAGTGTGCCGGGAGCCGTGCCCGCGAAGCGCTGTCCTGAATATGCGAAAGGAAAAAAAAAATTGTAGATATTGAATCAAGGGTCTCGGCCTGGCACGTTTCAGCCTCGTTTAACAGGCATGTGCAGTCGCACCCAATATGGGTTGCAACATGCTGCCCGTGGTCTAAGTGGTGCCAACACTGCACGGTGGTTCCGGCATAGAAAACAATAAATGACTTAAGCATTGTTTCGACTAGTTATACTGATATTTACAATACTCATGTCACGTTTACCGATGTTACAGTGTGGGCTTGGGGTTCCTTCAACCATGGCCACCGTTTTGTAACTCATTGTTAGCGCCACTGTACGGGCCACTTACGAACGTTTAGACTTCCCGAGTAAGCATCAATCAATCAATCAATCAATCAATCAATCAATCAATCAATCAATCAATCAATCAATCAATCGCTTTAATCGTTGACTACTCCGTGGCAATAGTTCGAAAGTTGCAGTGGTGTGTGTTTAGTGCTCTGGGTGGGCAATATGGGATACTGAGGCATAGACTGTGGCTCTTCTATTGGTATCCTTCGTTTAGCACTGCTCACCATGCGTACAGAAGCTGAAGGCTCACCATCTTCATGAGCTTCCACCATTTTAAAGTTTTGTGAGAGAGCACGCGAAAATGGAAAACGAAGCTGCCTATATAGTGCCGGATTTACATGTGGACAAAACCGCGGTCACTAAATGATGAAGATAGCGATGCGGGCTGCGTAAATGCCGCTTTCGGTATTTTGCGTCGCACATTCGCGACGCTTCGCGCTATCGGTTCGTCTGAATTAACCAGGTGGCTGCTAAATGTGACTGAATTACTAGAGTTTGATCAATTGATATATGAATAACCTTTTTATGCCATTAAACGATACATGCTCAAACTGTATTAGGGAAGAGTGAATTAGGGGACACTTCCACATTATCCGGTTTTACTTTTCAAACAAGTGAGGGTCACCTTAACGGGATTTTACTGTATTACTCTAGTGTATCTGAGAGGACCCGATGATTGGCCCTTTACAGGAAGAAAGATATTGGGAGCGCTGCTATTAGCTCAGAAAGCCCAGAGCCTTCCTTCAATTTTTGAACGCACAGAATCGAGCGGCCATCTGTGATATGCTGCTCCGTGCGCGTGGTGAAATGTGTGTACTATATAGTGGTTTTCTCGTTATACTTTTTTTGCCCCCTTATTTCACTCCCCACATGTGGGGTAGCAAACTGGACGTCTATACTTAACCTCCCCGCCTTTTCTGTTTTCCTTAATTCTGTCCGTCTCGGTGTTAAAGGCCTGTTTAATCTAGTAAAATACTTAGTTTTATTGCAGCACTTGTAAAAGAGAAGTCGCGGTGTTGGCATGCACTTACCGGTTGCTGCTCGACCATAGCGATCTGGTTGCCCTTGGTGGGTGGTCTGGAGGAGGCCTCTTCGGCACCGGTAGGATCAGCCTCCACTTCCCACGACGGATAGTCGTCGAAGAGCTCGTCCTCTTTGGGAGGGTCCAGCAGTGGAAGCCGCATCACTAGACCTGCTCCGCCCCGGAGAACCACCGACATGTTCAGTCTGCTTTCTTGTTTAATACGAGTATGAGGGGGAAAAATCTTTTTCTTAACCTTTCTGGTATACATTGCGGGATTCTGCACGACCGATTTGCAAGATTTCGTGTCTGCGCGCTTCGACTTGTCGATTAATTAACCTAAGCTTCCGCTGCTAGCTCCCTCCTGGTTAGCTCAATAGATAGAGCGAATGAAGGCATTGATTCCGCGGTGGTGGTAGTGAAGAGCATTTATTCACAAAAGAGAGGTGTAGGACGTCTTTAGACGTCCCTGAGACTAGGCATTGGTTAAAACCGCCGTCCTGGCTCTCTGTAACAAGGCCTACTGGGCCTGAAGGTCTGAGTAGCCGAGCAGGGCTGCCTCCCAGTACTCTCGCATAGGGTTTGAGTAATGGCTGCGTTATTCTGGTAGGCCCACACCATGTGGTAGGTGTCTGCCACCTCCCCACAGTGCTGGCACTGTCCTGTGACCGTATGGTCGAAATGTTTCACTATGGCAGGACATAGCAATGTATTCGTCTGGAGGCGAAGCAAAATGCGTTCTTCTGATTTCCTCGACGTCTTTGCGGCGCATCCTATCTCACGGACGAATCTATCGGCCATTAAGAAGCTTGCCCTTTATAAAATGCCTGTAGATTTTGTGTGGCTTCGTCGTACAAATAGTCGATATCTATATAATTCCATTTATAGCACCTGTGGATTTCTTTGTGGCTTCGTGCTACAAAGAGGGCTAGACCTGATGGACCCTCCTAAAGAGGACGAGCTCTTCGACGACTATCCATTTATTAGCTTCATTTATTAGCACTTTATTCAAATTTATTAGCCACCTAGTGGGTTTCCGCAGAACCGATTTGCATTGTAGTTCGAGTATTCTGCGCACCACCACAGGTCGTCGAGCGCAGTAGAGCGCCTTTTAGCAAGAGGCACGTTTCTATAGTATATCGATTGATATGTGGGGTTTAACGTCCCAAAACCACCATATGATTATGAGAGACGCCGTAGTGGAGGGCTCCGGAAATTTCGACCACCTGGGGTTCTTTAACGTGCACCCAAATCTGAGTTTCTATAGTATATCACTGACAGGCTTATTCTTTCTGGATAGTCCTGCAAGAGTAACTGCATATGTGTCTGCAATGCTCGTATTCTTGTGTATCGTCAATGCATTTCTTTATTTTGAAGTGAAAGCATGAGAGCGCAAGGTACTTCAGAGCTGGCTATGCTAGAATAATGAATTGTTTGCTCTGCTGACAAAGAAACAAGAAGATGTAAAGAATGAAACAAACATTGAAAAAGACCTATGCGAACACAAACATGCAAGACATTTCTCTTGAGAATACGCACAGTTTATCGCAAATCAACTTTCTTCGTGTAATTTTTTAAGGCGACACGTGGCGCTTTTCTCCTCCCGCTCCTTTCCCTCTTTCGTTTTCGTAACTTCCTTCTTTATTTAGGTCTTTATTCTTTCCATTCGACAGTTAAGTGTGGTGTCTCTTTCAGAGCTGGCGGCACACTTGTCCCGATAAGGGAGACATAATGAAGCGTCTTCTCTTTCCTCTAACAAATACCCACATATATGCAGCAGCCCGGTTCTTTTTGGGATCTTCGTGGTTTCTCGTAAGTTTAGGAACAACAACAACAACAACAACAACAACAACAATAACAACAACAACAACAACTACTACTACTACTACTACTACTACTACTACTACTACTACTACTACTACTACTACTACTACTACTACTACTACTACTACTACTACTACTACTACTACTACTACTACTACTACTACTACTACTACCTGTGAGCAGTCCTCCGCCAACGGCGATGGCGAGCGTGCACGCCATGGCGGCGAGCTGGTAGAGCGCCTGCGTTCCGGCTGTGCGCCCTTCTCCAGCCGCCACCTCGACCGTGTAGTACAGCACCTGGCTCAGCTCGGTCGAGTTTTCTGTGGGCGCCCGCGCCGGATACAGAGTGTACAGGCTGCGATCGAGGTTTATTATTTGGAATCACGTCGACGCTGTCGAAGGGTTTTCCGTCACCGTCACAGTCTACCCGTGAGTAAAGAGATTAGCTGTCGTACCTGTACTTGTACTCGTCCTCGGTGGCACTGGCGGCAATTACGGCGCTGGTGATCCCGGCCAGATTCCAGGCATGCCGTGCAGGTTGTTCACGCCGCATGTGTCGTGTATCCTTAGCTTTCGGGACAGTAGCGGCTGCAAACCAGTCCGGGATGTATGTACACATGCCTTACTGTTAGTGTGGGCACACGCGCACGCACGCACGCACGCGCGCGTTGCTCTGGATTTTCGAAACAACCTGTTACCTTTGTGTGAGTACATCGCAGATATCGTCACATCGCAAGTCAATAAGTTTGGTAAAATTTGATTGTCAGAAATTACGCGTCGACTCGTCCTTCAAGCCATTTCATTCAAACTGATGCAAATACTCATGCATAGTTTGTTCTCTGCCGGCCCTAGCAAGCTTGAGTCGATCAACAATGTTCCCGGGATTCTTGCGAAATCATTAGAGCGTGGTCATTGATCCTGGGTAGCCTGGAATCGTCGTAGGCCTATTGAACAGAACAATGGTTTCCACGGGGGCTTCTTTCGTCTCAAGAGGTCGTGCTCTGATTCACTTGCACTACATCGTAGCTTTGAAAAATTTCTTGAAATTATGGTCAGTATCGACGAGGATTTAATCAATGCTGCCTCCCCGTACGCATTTCGTTCGTTCAATGCTCTACTGACGACGAGGGCAAAGGACAACACACGAGTTATCCTTAAATGCAACGTGGCATCACTTGGTTCGCTTTTGCTTGTTTATTCTTTGTCTTTGTCTGTTAATGAAATGAAGAAAAATAAAAGGATTAAGATGGCAGGCCGCTATACATTGGATCAACCCAACATCTGCTAATAATACACGCAATACATAAAAAGGTAGGGAGAAAATAGAAGCTAAAGTAACATCGCACACGAGTGCAAACACTTGTGGCGTTGCACTCGAGTGCGCCGGTTCATTTACGTGCGCGGTGGCCATACTGAGATGGGAGAGATATCAATCGAACTTTTACACAAAGGTGGGCCTTATAAATTATAACCGCGTGTTGCTTTTGGCACGTAAAATTTCATAAATAGTTTAGCACAAGCATAGTTTGACAAGTTACCTGAGGCACTGGTTCAGTTCTCTGATATCATCTACACTAATAAGTATGCTGCTTTTTAACTGCCCTTGAAGGAGCGACAAAAGAAGTGCTGTATAAAAGTCGCGTGACACATTCTTTTGAGAAGCGCGTAGGCGTATTTGAATTGGAAGGCGTGGGAGGTGCTCTCTGCACCTAGCATTCATCTCGGAAGGACATTTTGTGGGGTCCTTAGGGACACCACCCCACTACAACGCGGAGCTGATAAAACTGGCACTCTAATTAGAAACAATAAATTAGATTAGACGGGTATACGCGAGACGCCACAGGCTGTTCTGTTCGTTCTGTTTGCACTGTACACTTGACAAACTAACCTGACAACAGCGGCAAGTAGACTTTCGTGACATATATGCGGCTTCGCATAGTAGTACAGTTACCGTATGCTCTCGCGTATGCGGAGCTGTGCGAGAAATACACATTTTTTTGCCAATTTCGTGGTAACATACATGTTAGAGACACATGTGCTTAAGCTTGTGCTAACGCGGTATCGATACGTGTACACTCACCATCATGAACTTGAATCCGAAGACGGACAAAGCTCCGGCCAGGGAACCCAGTATGAGCGCGCCGTAAGGGTGGAGCATCATGTCAGCCGTGGCTCCCACGGCAACACCCCCGGCCAGTGTGCAGTTTTGCACGTGAACCTGCGCACGGCACGCTGGTAAGCGTCGAGCGAAACCAAGGACTGTCATAACAGCCCTCCACCGAAAACCCTAGCGATAATTACTGTTACGCTTCTTCGCAACTAAGATGATTAGTGATGCTCCTCTGTAATTAGGTAAAAGTTTGGTCGACACTCCGCATATGTAGGCGCATATACGCACTCCCGTAAGTGCGTCTGCTCAATCTGACTATTGTTTTTCCCCTGCAACATCCAATATTACGATGTAAGTGAATAAACGTTATTTCACGATCCGGCATGTTTGTGGTCCGGGCTAGACCGCACGGGAAGGTGCCAGGAGACCTTGTCTCTGTACAGTCTCTTTGGCTTGCTGGATAGCCCATTTTTGGTCCGTACCTCCGAACTGAGCAGCACTAGCCACCACCGCTCCTGCAGAGGGCCTCAGGAGCTCATTATGTTGCGACATTCCACAATATATGTTTATAAGACGTCCTTTCTGTTATGTATAGCTTGCATTTATTGTCCGGGTAAAGGGTGGGTAGCTCCTGTGGACGTGCACAGGGTTTGGGCAGGAGTTGGTCTGTAGCTGTCGATATTGAAATGCTTGTTGCCTGTCTAGACTCAGGTGAGGTGCGGGAAAGACGCACCTTGCTTCTCTGTAGTGTTGTGTGTATTCTGTGCAGCACGTAAATCAGTCTTTGTGTGGCACGTCGGTGGCACCAGGGATGACCACCGAGCGGTCTAGTTAGGTTGCGCGGTGGGTTCATTCTCGCGACAACTTGTGAGCCATCTCGTTCGGATTGGACGTATGAGTGTCTCTGTGCGCTGGGAATTATAATATGTATTTGTGCTTATCTACCAAAGTAGTCGGATGAACCCGATTGATGTTAGTAGTGGTTTGTGCAACGCAGATTGCATGGGTAGAAAAATGCATTCGAACAAACTCCACTCCTAATTTAGTAAACACTTGTTTTCTGAATAGGGGGCTATTTGGAATCGTGAACATAATCAACTAACGAATTCGTATGTGTCTTGTGCAGTTCGAGCCGGTAGAGTTAACGAGGTATCTAACATGTTTCAATAAGCCACTTTTCCATTTTAATGCTTTATACCAGGGGTTAATATCAACCTTCTGGGGCGGACGGCCGAGTCGCATGAAGCCGACACTGCAGGGGCCCGCCTGAAGATCGCAAGGAGGAGGGAGGAGTTGCAGTCGAAAGGATAAAGATCTGCGAATGATTCAATTTACAATAAATCTGTACAACACCGGAATAGAAGTTATGTTCACTCTCAAGCATGTTACAACGTTCCAGCTAATAGACATAGGGCAAAGTAAAAAAAAATAAAAGCTATTTCCACGTGAATTGCGGTGTTGAACATTCGAGCCAACTCACGCATATGTAAATCAATATTGCTCACCGACAGACGCAGAAAGTTAGGCAGTTGTTCATCAGTTAGTCGGGAGGGGTTAATCATTTAATTAGGAGGAGAGGGGCTGGCGTTGCAGGCGGCCACGTAATATACCGCCCCGTGGGCCGCTGGTTCCTTCCCCTGCTTCATACTAATTCGACTCGATAGGCGTGTACACTCGCCATGGTGAAGCGGTTCTTGGGATCCACTAACGCCGACACGGCGTACGAGGTGATGGTGCAGGCCACGAGCGCCAAGAATGTGTTGATCACTGCGCGGTGCCTGGCGTCGCCGTACGCCGATACCGCGTTGAAACTGGGCCAGAAGACCCACAGGAACAGCGTCCCTGCGCACAAAGGAAGGGTGTAAATGAATACTGGATTGAGCGTATCGCAATAACGGTGACAGAAGTGTATGAATACGCTCGGCTCAGAACAAAACTCAGTCTTGGGTTTTTGAGAGAGGAAGAGAGAAAGAAAAGGAAAGGCCGGGACGTTAACCAGATATTGGCATCTGGTTTGCTATCCAGCGCTGGGGGTGGGGTAATAAGGGCAAGAAAGAGGGGGTAGATAGAGAGAAAAAAACGCGCTAAATTCGGTCTTTGAAGATTGTAATCATCGACATACCCATAAAGAGGCCTTGTTCAAAGATATAACAAAGTGTAATGGCAGTGGCGAATACTGGCCTTATATTGTAATCACAAAAGATAGTGACCTGTAAGTTTTCGTAAAGTTCCTGTGAGGTTTCGTAATTATATTATGCTTTAGCTTTAGTTTTTATATACCTCGAAAAGGAAGAGTATAGTTGTCCTAGTTAATCTATGAATGTGATACATATGAGAAAAACATTCCATGCAATGTGTTTGCGAGTCGAGGTCAATCTGTGGTAAGCATCGTAAATTTAGAGATATCCCTTTGTGATTGTTAGCGAAAAAAAAAAAGCACGTTTTCATGTGCTCTCGCTTAGTTTAAGCTTAAGAACACCACAGCGGTAGTGAACAAGGTTTTTATAGTATGTCTGCGTAAGAGTTTTTGCTATAATACATGAATGAGCAACTCACGCACTGGATTATGCTATATTGCTAACGGTGCCTTTAGTAAGACGCTACTGGCACGGACGACCTTGTGGTTGGGCAACGAGATAAGATTGCGTTTCTTTATCTTTGTGACGTGTTTTACCTGCTCGATATTTATTTTTCGACAGTTCCTCACCGATCATAGCGAAAATGTCCGAGTGGTAGACAGAGCCCTCCTTGCGGTGGTCGCGGTGCTCCTTCTTGTTTAGAACGAACGACACCGCAAGGCCGAAGTAGGCGCCGAACATGTGAAGGAAGATGGAACCACCGATGTCCACTGCCTGCGAACGTTCGCAAGTAGCGAAATTCCTAGTGCCGCGTGTGAAGTGCTGAGCCTGGACGAGTGGGTATTTTAAAGGCCCACTCAACACAAAGCACAATGATTCGACCGACCCGCATGGCAAAGGTGATATTCTTCTACCTTTTTTGCCCACTACAGTTAACCCCCCCCGCCCCCCCCCCCCCAAAAAAAAAGACACTGTAAATACGGCTGCGTTTACTTACCGTCATGATGGTAAGATACCGCAGAACTATAACATGAGATGCAAGGAAAAAAACTGAAAAAGAAGAAACAAAAAGAAAGTAACACATAAAAAGCATCAATCAACACAAATTAACACGTCACAAACATGCAAGTAGTGTCGTCATGGGAAGTCAGCTTTCTTAGCATGGTAGCGGTATTCGTACGACGTCCACTGCATTATCGAATGGGAAAGGGACCAAATTTCTTTTCTTTTAAAAACATACATGGAATGCAAACGCGTAAACAAGCTTTCTTACAAACAGCAGAGAGATAACGGAAATAGTGCAGCAGTATTTCTGAAGTCTCCAACGATTAGGGAATAGCTATATGACGTCCTTGCCAAGCTCTTCTGTATTGTGTTTGTTGCGTAGGAGCTATGTAAAACTCGAAACGTTTTTTTTTGTTTTATCAGAACTGACTGTTGTCCTAGTTGGTACCTGCTGTTGACATACTTTAACCAGCCCCGCCGCGGTGGTCTAGTGGCTAAGGTACTCGGCTGCTGACCCACAGGTCGCGGGTTCAAATCCTGGCTGCGGCGGCTGCATTTCAGATGGAGGCGGAAGTGTTGTAGGCCCGTGTGCTCAGATTTGGGTGCACGTTAAAGAACCCCAGGTGGTCGAAATTTCCGGAGCCCTCCACTACGGCGTCTCTCATAATCATATGGTGGTTTTGGGACGTTAAACCTTACATATCAATCAATCAACATTAACCACGAAATAACACAGAGTACGGAAACAGCTAGGCAACGACAAGAACAAGCGTCACTCTCAACTAAATTAGGCTGAGCGCTAACCAGAAATAAATATAAAACATACAGGCGTGCGCAGTTTTCACACAGCCTTACGCTATCCAGCTATCAAACAATCTCTTTTGCGATACGTACAATGTCACCGACGTGTCGCTCATGCACCATTTTCTTTTCTTTTTTATGTAATAGGCTTCCATCAACTCAGGCGCAGTTCGATACCTAGAATATTGATTTCTTTAAAACGTGGTTCACCCTTGCAGGTTTCGCGGTGCATAGGCAAATGCGTCAAGCCGTCCTCCATTAGATTTTTTCATGCTCCCTTGCTTGTTAATTAATACGGCGCCCGGTGTACCCGATGCACGATTTGCCACAAGAAAGGGGAATTTCATAAACCACGCATTTGACTTCATTTCCCGTACGTCGTGGTGGTGGTAGTGGTTATAAGAGGGAGATGGCACCTAACTTCTGCAGCCCGGTAGGGAGCACGGCGCCGTGCCTACGTCGTGCCACGTTTCTCGCCGCATTCCTGCCGGCTTTCCTCCTATACCAAGCAGTTCTCGGGCACAGGTGAGCCATTTTAGGGGCGAAGCTTAGGGCGTGGGCTGTGCGTCCCCTGTAGCCTGTATGTAGCCACCTCTAGTTTAGTTCTTGCAGTGTTCACTAGATGGCGGTACCGTCCCCTGTATGTAGCCACCTCTAGTTTAGTTCTTGCAGTGTTCACTAGATGGCGGTACCGTCTCCTGTATGTAGCCACCTCTCGTTTAGTTCTTGTAGTGTTTACTAGATGGTGGTACTTGTAGCTGATGATGAAAAGATGCAAGATGTTATAAACTAGAAAGCGGTACTTGTAGTTGATGAAAGACGCGAGATCTTATAAAATAGGAATGATGTCACATATGGCGCGTGTCATTGGTTGAAGGCAATCGTTCGATTTAGTGCGGCGACGTACGCTAGGGGGAGCGATGTAATAAAATCGAGTGGGCAAAATGTACAGAGGATTCATGGTTTACCAGGTTTACCTCCGGAGCTTCGCCCACTCATCATCATTCACTTCGTGGATATGGCGGAATTTTTTTACGGGTGCGGAAAATGCGACGGGTACCCCGTACCGGCCTTTTACCCTTTTTCAGTTGGTAGGAGACCTAATGAACATAAGGAATCACTGCAGGTCTTACGGTTTTGGTTTCTTGTTTCCTCGTGCCAGCTCTATAGTATACCTTCACTCTTCGCTTTCTGCAAAAGCGCTTCGGAGACGGCTGACAATGGAGAGTCAGGGAATTTCGCAGCTTCTAGTCGCTGGTTTTTTTTGTTTGTTAGTTTCAAGGAGTGACATGTTCGAGTTCTTGTACTCGGACACCAGAACGAGGTGTATAGAAAGAATGTCCGATGTCCCGAGAACAAAGATCGAACAAGACGCTCTTCCGCGAATAGCAAACAGGTGTGGTCGTGGCAGCGTCGCACTAGCTGTACCCCTAGCCGGGGGAAATAAATAATTGCGAATCGCTCAAAGAGGCGCAGTGGGTGCGAACAATATGATTTGAATTTATCTCGGTCGAACACTTATATAAAGAAAGAGAACTTCAGAACACTGGAATCGGTGCTAATGTCCTTCACACTAAGTATCTTACGGAATAGATATTACTAAACATCTCACTATCGGTGAAGAGGGAGATAGAGAGAAAAAGGTAAATGGAGTTCAACCATGCAGAGGAGACTTATTAATGTAATCTTGTAATCAAGAAGGGGAAAGAAGGCTGAAAAAATGAAGGAGAGGAAGCGTGTGTGACGACACTATATGAAGTCATCACATTTACATCCATCCAAGCACTGCCCATCAACATTGTCGGGGGAAGTCGCAAAAATCAGTCAATCCAGTTTGGCTAAGAAACCAGACTGAACAGCGATCATGTTGAACTACAACATAAACAACGTGCAAGTTTTGCCAGTAATGTCAAAAAACCCTGAAGTGGAATTGTAAAACAAGAATAAAAGTCTTCTCGCTAAAGAAACCAAAACCTACTTTCTTGTCTCGAGAGCTCACCTTCAACGTTTCTTTAGTTTGAGCACATTTACTACGAATGGTGTAATAGTGGGGCATTGTTATATTTACGAGCTGTTGGCAGCACCTGAACATAGCGTTAGCGCGCAAATAAAATCTTCGCGAAGTTCGCTTCTCCGTCTTTCTTTCGCTTTTTGTCACTGACTAAAAACTGAGTGTTCTGGCCGGTTTCTGTACTGCCTCTTCTTTCTTGACTCCCGCTATCACGATACATCTCTCCAGACTGTTTACTTCCGCGTATTTCTTATCAAGTACTTCCAGTTCATGGTGCACACTCAGCGGTTGCTGTCAAGAGCGCTCTAGCGGCTACCGCTTACTGTTGACTCAACACTCTCTAAGCCAACCGCAGAAAATAGTAGTGTCTGCTGTGGTCTGAAGATAAGTTAACGGTCACCGCACGTCTGCTGCGTTGTTTACCTAGGATAGTCACAATCTTGAAACTTTCAGATACCTTCGTTGGGTGATGTTTATTGCCTTGCGTGAGAAACTCATGATCCGAGAAATGCTAACTTCTTTATCTGTGTTATTGACTAAGCACTCTACGGCGGTAGCTTTTTTATCTACCGTTATCTACAGTAAGCATGTGTCGTATTTTTAAGAGTTTGATGATATTTTTTCATGACTACCTCAATGTGTGAGGCTGAACGAAACATTTCGTCCACATTACTCAAACATATACGAGGAACGAGCAAATATACTCATGAGGTCCCCTAACAGTTTTTACTTTGGGACATCCGATTGTTAAATAACCATGCTACATAACGTTCAACCAAATCACCAAACGTTCGACCCCAACAATTACTATTATTAAAGTGGAGCAAACGTGAGATGAAATACAACGACACTTATCTTAATCAGAGATAAATCTTATCTAACCAAAGTTGAAACTACAAGCCGCGATAGCTCCTGCAGGTTTATTGATGGTTAACCTTTGCAGCTCGTTGTCCTTACTGGCTACTGCTGGTCAATTACTGCCGGAAAGCCAACTATGTAAGAATGAAAGAAATGCACGCAATGCACAGCACAGTCTCAGTACACGATAAGTGTACATGTATACTAATCATTACTAATCATATAAACTTTGATTGATTTGTGGTGTTTAACGTCCCAAAACCACCATATGATTATGAGAGACGCCGTAGTGGAGGGCTCCGGAAATTTCGACGACCTGGGGTTCTTTAACGTGCCACCAAACTGAGCACACGGGCCTACAACAATTCCGCCTCCATCGAAAATGCAGCCGCCGCAGCCGGGATTTGATCCCGCGACCTGCGGGTCAGCAGCCGAGTACCTTAGCCACTAAACCACCGCGGCGGGGCCTAATCATACAAACTAATGTGCACGAGTTGATAGGTAATGTGTGAACCCTACTGCATGTACTCGTACTTACACTGCGGGAAAGATGTTAGTTATTATAATGTGAGGTTGGTGTCAAGCACGCGATTCGCTGTGCATTTGTTTCGCAAAAGTAAACAAAAGACGCGTTGCAGGAGCTCAAAACAGAAATTCGTGAGGGGATTCCCGATCTAGAATGGTCCCACAGTGTCTGAAACACTTAACGGAACAAATCAGGAGCGCAATGCTAGATACGTTTGACTTGGTTACGTTTTCACAAGAACAAATAGCATACAGTTAGCAAGTATGGTGCGCTATTACGCACTCTTTTTTTTTCTGGTTGAGTTAGTGTTCTTCCGTAATTCCTATCAAATAGAACAACATAACTTGAGCATTTTTTCATTAATTTTATGTGGTTGAGGAGATCTTAGCGCTTTTATGTAGCGCCAGCTCCGAAAATCGCGACAAAAGAAAAACATACACTCAATGAAAAGATGAGTAAAAAGGGCGTCTTTTTGTCGCAAACCAATAATCGTCATCTATCTCGCGCTCCTTTTTTGTATACTATCGCCGCGCGCCCGGCACTTTCAGATCACTAACGACATGCACGTTATCAGCGTGACATAGCTTTCTTGATAGGAAAGTGGTCAGTTCCGAGTTTGCAAGAAAGGAAGCACGAGCAAGCCGGATGATTGATTGATGATGATTGATTTGTAATGTTTAACGTCCCAAAACAATGATATGATTATGAGAGACGCCGTAGTGGAAGGCTCCGGAAATTTCGACCACCTGGGGTTCTTTAACGTGCACCCAAATCTGAGCACACGGGCCCACAACATTTCCGCCTCCATCGCAAATGCAGCCGCCGCAGTCAGGATTAGATCCCGTGACCTGCGGGCCAGCAGCCGAGTATCTTAGCCACTAGACCACCGCGGCGGGGCAAGCCGGATGATGATTACTGTTGTGGGACAAAAGTACAGTTTTTTACTCTATATTTTTGTAGTGTACGTAAAAGAGCACCCAGAGACTGTCCGTGTAATATTCAGTCAAACTGTTAAAAATCAGATAATCACCCCATTCACATAGCGACACGAAAGGCAACACAAGCTACGCTACAGAGCACCATATATTTCCTATGAAAACGCAGTCGCACGAATACCCAATATGCTGAACATAACACTGCACATAACGTCCAGTCAGGCAAAAAAAAAAACACTGAAATTGGCCAGTTTCGAGGACAGACTAAGCTTACGCATGAAGCGAAATATGACGAACCATGCTCACGTCGAATGTTGAAGTGTTTGTGAGTTTAGTCAAGCTCACGAAGTTTTCTATTTCACTACCCTAAAAATACCTTACTGTGCTTTTATTCATTGCGAGTTGTCATATTGCACTGAGTCTTGGCGTGGCACGTACATAACTTAACTGGACCCGGTTAGATGACATTAAAAACGTTCTGTGAGAGTCATTACTCATTCCAAGTATAATGATCCCAGGAAACCTTTGTTTTCTCGATTACTTCAATTGTCCTTCGACCTCCTATGGAGATTGTGTGCGATGAGTGTGATAAGTAAAACGGCGACCAGCTACACACCTTGAATGCTCCTACGCCGAGTTGCTCATTGCAAGCGAAGAGAACCACTTCGACGGCGGCCATGACGACCAGCTGCAGGGGACTAGTCTTGCCCAGCACAGCGCCGAACGAGATGAGAACACTCGCGGCTGCGAATTCGGCGCCCACCAAGCTGCATTACACACAATCAAATGACCCAGTTAAGTTGGCGTTATTCAACGAGTGCACAAGAAGGAACGCAGGCGCTACATTAGAGCAGGCTTTCACAATATTAGCGTTGAGAAATTTCAACTACAATTTACCATTTGTATACGAACAGACACACCACGAGCAAACAAACTTATCAAGTGTATAACAAAAAATATGGGTGGAATCAAAAAAGAAAGCGCAGGGAGGGGCCCATGAATATGCCTCCGCATAAACCAAACATTCATTAACAGTGTTCAATAAGAACACCACTATGCATGTAATATGCGAATGTCATTATTAAGTGATCCTGGGTAGGCTACTGAGCCCAGCCCAGGTTAACCCCATGCCTTTCTGCTATTTTTATTTTCTTTCTCTCCCTTTAAGTCATCCTGACACTAAAAAGTTTCAGCTTCAGTCAGATTCCGTTTATTGATTTAATATCGATATCCTTGTGTGTAAAACAATCTTAGAGTAACAATAGCCACGCCAATAGCTGGAGATTTAAACAGTATAGCGGGCTGTCCTAAAGATCAGTTAACGAGTACGTGCGCAAATACACGCACGCACGCACACACACATACACACACGCATGCGCACATACGTGCGCACGCACACACATACGCCAACACATTCCGAGTTTTGTTGGTGCGTGCATGCTTTCAGTGCACTCTCACTAAATCCGCACGTGAAGTAACGTGCATAACCTCTCGCCACCGTTAACCTCTACGGTTATCATTACGCCTTCTCCGCCCCTCTACGTGAGCAAACAAACCAAGGGCACCTTTTTACGTTTCTTTTTAGCCCAATTCTTGGATAAGCGTTCAAGTTTCAGTTCACTTCCAAAGTGATTTTCGTTGCCATGTACAGCGTAAGGGGGGGAAAATTATTTCTTCGATGTCGATAGCTGCTCCTTGTCGGGCGGGCTCACGGTTGAAGAAAAATTCTCCGGCGGATCTCGTGGGGAGATGGGAGAGTCTCACGAAAGGCCTTGTGGCCCACGCGGGGTTGACCCATGTGCACTATAGGGTTGTGTCGCTTAGCCTGCACCTAACGATGCCCGCGGTGATCGATGGCTGCGCGATATTTCGATCGGCACGCTTCGCGACGCGGCTGCAGACAGCTGTCCGATTTCCCCGTCCGAAGCTCTAGCGCTCATTGGTTAAATGCGAGGCACAAAGCAATTACAGGTGGAGAATAAACGACGACAACCTTTGCGCTTCCGTGCAAAGTTTGCAACGGTGCATCGCAAGCCTTCTCGTAGTTCCTTTAATTCCAGAGACCGCGCTCAATGTTTTTTTTTTCTCAGCATCGTTTTCCTTTTAATTGAATATTGCTTTGAATGCTGGAAGGTTACGGGTCGAGATCACGGTATAACCGTGGGGCACGCAGTAGCGGGCTACTTCAGAAAATTAACCACCTGAGGTTTTTTAACGTGCCCCTGTAGGTCTTCCACGTGGGTGTTTTACAGCAGAGCTATTGTGCTCGAGGTGGCCGTGGGCCACAGGTTAAAGAGTATCGTCATTCCGACACGTAAACATAGAAAGAATGATAAATATAGAGGGAGAACAGAGCGCTTTCTTCGTTTCATCTGTCCTTCTCATTTGCACTTGTGACGACTGATCACTTGCCTCAGAACGTCCACGACGATCCATCCCTTTCGGGCGTGCCAGACTCCACGCACTATGGCGGCCCACTGGATGCTGAGTGCGGCGATGAGGAGCGTGAATCCCACGGCACCGAAACCGTAGCGCTTGAGGAACGTCATCAGGAAGCCGAAACCGATGAACACCATCACGTTGACGTCCTGGAACACTGCGTGTAGGGCGCAAGCAAAGCCGCAGTGACACATGAACGAATGGACACAAACAAGTTTCCTTATCGACGTGGGCTTCCCACGCTGACAAGCTCTAAAGAGGTGACGTAACGGTAGCACATATTTTAAGTCGCAGCAAACAAGCACTCTTTGAAAGTTAATGCTAGTTGTCAGTTTGAAAAAGTGTCAGTGGAGCTAATTGTCAATATTCTGACTACATTATACGATTATCCAAAATGTCTGCTCGTGCATAGACATCCACACATAATGGAGCTATAAGAAGGAGGCTTTTTTTCTTCCTGCAACCCGTTCCGCCACTCTTGTTTCTGACTCTGGATGTATACATCGTAGTGCGGGCCTAAAACTATTGTCGTTGTGGTCTGCCATCAATGAAAGTTGGCATCTCTGCATTATGACTTAGTTTAACTGTACGTGTATACAGACCCGCCCTGATTTGACTTTTAAGAATAGCGATAGTGATCGATGGCGTTTCAACGTGATGCCGTTGAAAGCTACGTTTCGCCGAAATTCTGGCATCGGTGTCGGCGTGGGTGTTGTTGGTTGTGAGCACGGGTTGTCAGCGAAAAAATCAGCATCTTGTGCCCGACGGAAAAAAATCGAGAAAGATGCAAATGAAATAAATAATAAGTATTTTCGGGTCCGGATGACGACCCAACCTGGACTTTTGCGTGGTAAACAGCTGTTTTACCACAAAGCCCCGCGTCAGCTTGGAAATGCAGTTAAACTTACACGCAACCCGCGTACAGGCTTCACAATACAACATGTACTATCGCAGTAATATTGTGTCGTACAAGCGTGCATTGCCATCGGGCATCGGAACATGTGATTATGATAACGACTTTGTGGTTTGAAGCTGGTTACCCATTACAAAAGGCACACTCGTTACTGCGTGTATTCCCTTATAACATTAAGCATTGATGTTTAACGTCCCAAAAGCACCGTATGATTACGAGAGACGCTTTAGTGGATGGCTACAGAAATTTCGACTACCTGGGGTTCTCTAACGTGCATCTAAATCCAACCACACGGGGCTCAAGCATTTTCGTCTCCACGGAAAAAGCGACCGCCACGGCCGGGATGAGTGTGGCCGGGATGCGTGGAGCCATGCTAGCAAGCTCGAAAAGATTTCGCGCACATAATTGTTCGTTGTTTAAAGCATGATAGCCATCACACAGAATGTAGCCACGTGCGAAAACTTCGCCGACACAAGCCACTTTCAACTTTATCGATCGCACTGTAGTAATCTACGATTCAAACTTCTCTAGTAACATCACACAATAAAAAGTATGGACTCAGTGGTTGAAGTATGTACTTGGAACAGGGTATCACTATTGCGTTCAACTCTTAAAGGAGATGCTTAAGGATCCCCCAATTTTTCATCATGTTGTATGATAGTCCTTTATAAACCCCTTTGCCGCTCGCATCTAAGAGCTCTGCATTGAAAACATCTTGTAAGTTCACATCGCTAGCTAAAATTATCCTTGAAACTATCTTCAAAAATCGGGGATTTCTCAGTGGGATGATTACGTAAGAACTAGTTTAGGACTGCTCAGAAGTTACTTGCGTAAGTGTTGTTTCAGGAGTGCCTTAAAAACATCGTCGTTTCTGGTTAACCTTACTGCCTTTCACTTACTCTCTCTCTCTCTCTCTCTCCTCTCTCTCTCTCTCTCTCATTTTACTTATTATGTTTTTAAGAACCGAGTTGGCGCCATTAAAGGAATTTAGTTTGAAACAGTGTGAAGGCTCTTTAGTGGGTGTCATATATAGGGGTAAGACATGACAGACTTTCTACATAATACGCCTGGAGGGTATGGTATGGGCGCTTGCGTAAAAACGTATCCCTGTTGGTACAGGCTAGCGCACAAAGTTGAGCCCCCCCCCCCCCCCCCACACACACACAACTCTTTAATCAACAGGTATGCTATATACCTTTACATCAATAAGACAATCATACCAGTTATATTATTATTATGTGTGCAGGGCTGCAGCATGCAGAATTTGTCAATAATCACGGCCGAGGACCCATTATATTGTATTCTAAGAAACGTTCTCTTCCAAGATTTACGCTCAGAGAGGTAGGGACAGATGATTAATTTTCATTGCCCCGCCGCGGTGGTCTAGTGGCTAAGGTACTCGGCTGCTGACCCGCAGGTCGTGGGATCGAATCCCGGCGGCTGCTGCTGCATTTTCGATGGAGGCGAAAATGCTGTAGGTCCGTGTGCTCACATTTGGGCGCACGTTAAAGAAACCCCGGTGGTCGAAATTTCCGGAGCCCTCCACTACGGCGTCTATCATATTCATATGGTGGATTTGGGACGTTAAACGTCACATTTCAATCAAGCAACCTTACTTATCATTTTTTTTAATGCATGACGAGGCCTGTTCTTTTTTGTACTCCTGCTGCCGATACGGCATAGGAGGTGATGGTGAAGTATTCCGTCCTTTTCATTAATGGAGAGCCCTGCCACAGACGTAGCCGAGTATGGCTGAAACCCCGTACAGATCTCCTGCGTTCAGGGGCATATGCTCCTCGGCTAGAGCCACGCAGCAAGATTTCCACACACACCTTTCTGCAAGTCATGAGTTTCATCTCTCGCGCGCGGCTCAACTTTGTGCGCATGCTCTCACCACACGCGAGGTCAGGCTTGATCGTCGGCTGAAGCTGCTGCGTGTACGGGCGCATGTAACGCACCACGTCTTTCTTTCGCGTGATGCCACCAAGGCTGCCTGCGCGGTGCGCGCGTGCATTCACAGCCCGTGCACGTTACAAGTTGGCTCGTTTTCACCGCGCGTGCGGGAGCGGAACATGAGCTATCTGTCATTGCTTTCGTCGTTGCAGTGCTAATCGCGTCGCGTCACGAAATCAACAATCGCTGGTCACTCCTGGATTGTTCGTTCCTCTCGAAACACGGGCTGAGGGGAATTCGGCTTCGCTTTCACTCCCCGTGCAACGGCGACATATATATATATATATATATATATATATATATATATATATATATATATATATATATATATATATATATATATATATATATATATATATATATATATATATATATATATATATATATATATATATATATATATATATATATATATACTCCTGCTGCCGATACGTTCCCAAGTGCTTCGGAGAGAAGGTGCAAATTATTAATTGATTGATTGGTGGGGTTTAACGTCCCAAAACCACCATATCATTATGAGAGACGCTGTAGTGGAGGGCTCCGGAAATTTCGACCGCCTGGGGTTCTTTAACGTGCGCCCAAATCTGAGCCCACGGACCTACAACATTTCCGCCTCCATCGGAAATGCAGCCGCCGCAGCCGGAAATCGAACCCGCGACCTGCGGGTCAGCAGCCGAGTGCCTTAGCCACTAGACCACCGCGGCGGGGCGAAGGTGCAAATGTCATCGTATTTGTTTAAAGAATTAACTAATACATATTGTTATGAGACAATGTCCCGCTTAAGCAGTGAGATAAGCGCCGAGGAAGACGACGCCGTGATTTTGGTGAGAGCGCACTCTTGTGCTCCATCTTGGCTTGCGCGTTGGCGCTGTTTCGAATATATCTTAAAATGCCTAGTTTCCCGTGTGTCTTCAGGCTACATTGGGACATTACAATATCATTGTAATGTTCAAGCAGGTATCGAGGGTGTATTCACCTTCCTAAAAACATACAAAAAGAAAAAAAAATTGTTTCCTGCACCTCTGTTCGATTAATAGTAAGTTGCCATATATATAGAACCCTCCCTAAAGACGCACGTCAACTCTATTTCGGGAAGTCGCGCCTACCACAAATTCCCCAAGGAGAAGCAGTGATCCCCAAAGAAGAGTCAACTCTCGTATCGTTAAAGTGAGGTGTATATGTCGCAAGTCAGAACTAACCAATTAAGAACGATAGAAAGACGTGGACATTTTAAGGGCTCGTTTTTCTGTGTCAGACGCAATGTATCTCACCAATAAGAGTGACGGCAACACTTTTTTGAAGAGCGACTTCAATCGAGATTTTTTCGCCCTAGACGGTACCGCACGTGCAGTTCTGTCAACAACTTCAGGAGACACGACAGCAACACCGCGAAAAAAAACTTACGAATGTATGGGCATTCACGGGGCCGCCGTTGTTGCGCAAATAGTCTTCGTGTCTAGCAGCTATTTGTCGTGTGCACACTCACGTGCACAAATCGCCGCGCATGGAGTGAACTCCCACATTAAGAGGGGAGAGAGAAAGGCCGCGGATGGACGACTTATGTTCGGCATAGGCCGGCCCGCGTTCCCCACGTGCATGGCGTAATAGGCGGACACCGACAATGCGCCGGTAATTGGCGAAACGGTGTGGCCGCGGGGCAAGCGGCGCACAAAGGGAGAGTTCTATACTGCAGAGCCATAGCGCTGCAAAGCGGCAGCACGCAAGCAAGACAGACTGAAAGAAAGAACGAAAGAAAGAAAGAAAGAAAGAAAGAAAGAAAGAAAGAAAGAAAGAAAGAAAGAAAGAAAGAAAGAAAGAAAGAAAAGGGGACGAAGAATAGCAATGAGAAGAAAAGAAAGAATGTGAAAAAGAAAAGTAATTAGTATATCTCTTTCGAAGTTAATACAAAGTGGTCACGGCTACAATGCCTATTCTAGCTACTGCAGCTGCGTCCGCAGAGTTTATTACGCGATTAACTAGATGTGCTATAGCGTGCTGGAGCTGCACTGGAATAGGGCCTCGGTGAGCTAGAGATGTATTATTTTATTGCAACGCACGATTTATATAGTTTAGGATTAACTATATTTATTATGGCTAACTTGTGCCAGAAGAGGAAACGAAAGACGACTAGAGTGTTCCTCGTAGGATATCGAAAATCAATCCCAGAAGGCTCTCGAGCGATACCCCACTTCTTCACCAAACCGTGCGCGGAGAAGGCGCGTGCCGTCACGGCATTTTCTTGTTTCTGTTATCGGGCCGTTGTTCTCTTGGAGGACGCACGCA